AAGGCTCCTCTGCTAACTGAAGGCAGGCCATGCCACAGTGTGGTAGCCAACACCTAGGAAAAGTGCCCAATATTACTAAGGAGTGAGAAGTAATAACAAGCATAGTTCTCGGAATATCCTTCGTGAATATAATTAATTGTTGAATGAGAGTGCGAACAGATAAAGGGACTGCCAGCAGCGCTGCCGTCCCCGCCGCCTCGGCAAACCTGAGTCATCTATTATGCCGGCTGGCACACACAGGGTCGGGAAAACTTCCTGTGAATAATTTGGAAGCAAGGAGCAGCATTCTTCCGTTCGACAGCTCCTGGACTTCGCCTCTTTTGCAAAACCTCCATTAAGGGCGCTCTTATCTCAGTTTGATTAAGACTAAGACAACAACCCTTATTCCTTTCCCTTCCTTCTGCCCACACTCACCAAAAGATATACGAACGTAGCAGTTAGCGAAAGAGAACAAGTATATTGGCCTAATCACTGTCCCGCACGGCTTTGGTGATGCCGTAGTCAGCTATTGAACCATAGGGCACTACAATCCAACTACTGCATGCATGCTGGGGCTGTTGGGACTTCACGCCACCTGGTGCCGCGCAATTACTCCGAGGATGTTGTTTGCTTACTATTTAGTTACATTCACTGTACTTATTTGCTCTTGTTAGGGTGAAGGAGTTTCTGGCGAGCCCTGTCNTACTATTTAGTTACATTCACTGTACTTATTTGCTCTTGTTAGGGTGAAGGAGTTTCTGGCGAGCCCTGTCCCTCGGCGAGTGTGAGCTCAACTTCTTAACGGGCAACATGGCGTCCGCAGGGAACAGAATCCTGTCTTTCTGCAGGGCCTCGAGGGTACACTTATCCTATGTTTTATTGTGCACGAATACCTTAATTCTTTGCAATCTTCTTCTTTCTTTCTCTTCTTAAGTAGACACTGAGTGGCTGGTGGGGCCCATATATTCCTACCGCAAGTTTACATGCAGTGAAACTCTAAGATGTTCAGGAGCTCATTACGGCTGCTCAACAGATGTCATGAAAATGCCTTACATTGCATATAGTTTAGAGCCCCATATTGTTCTGGAATCCCCCTGATATCATATATGCTGCTTTCCTTCTCGACCAACAGAAGAGGGGGGATCGTCCGGTGTGTTGTATTGTTGTTTTCAGTGCTTCTCAACCACTGCCCGCGTGTTCGTTGATCGAAATACAAAAGTCATTTGCCAGGGACTGACTGGCAATCAGGTGATTTGGGGGGTTTGGGGTCTATGTTCTTGAGTTTTCCCTTCCGTTGCCACATCCCCTCAGTTGGGGCGCTTCCTCGACTTTCAGGGCCAACACAGCAACTGTATGCACCACAAATGTAAGTCTTTACTTTCTTGTTTTTGCTTACGTGTAGGGGAGCTTTCACAGTGAGCAGGCACTGAACTATGGCACGCAACTCGTGGGTGGAGTAAATCCTGCAAAGGGCGGCACCACGTGGACGAGCTCAGACGGCCAGCACAAACTCCCTGTTTTCAAATCCGTTAAAGAGGTGAATGCGCCCACAAATTATAGTTAACAACAAAGTGAATCTGAGCATTTATTTCACTCATGGCACGTCGGTGGTTGCTTGAGTTCATAACACCTCGGCTTCATTTCCACTTGCCTCTCTCCCCCCCCCNCCCCCCCCCCCCCAGAGCTGTTTCTACTCTGCAAATAACGAATGCGTTTTAGGCCAAGGAAGCAACGGGATGCCACGCCTCGGCGATCTTCGTCCCTCCCCCCCACGCTGCCGCTGCAATACTTGAGTGTGTGGAGGCTGAACTGGATCTGGTGGTTTGTATTACGGAGGGCATTCCTCAACATGACATGGCGATGGTTAAGAGACGCCTTCGTGGACAAACAAAGACCCGCCTTATCGGCCCAAATTGCCCGGGAATTATCAAGCCGGGAGAATGCAAAATTGGCATCATGCCTGGCTATATTCACAAGAAGGGATGCATAGGTACTGAATCACGGCAATCAGAGGACGCACAAGCACCAGTAGAGATGGAATATATGCAGTGAACTGGTAGCTTCGCTGCTTCGATGGTGGAGTTTCTGCAGTAGTATGTGTTCTCTTTGTGCTACAGGCGTCGTGAGCAGGAGTGGAACTCTGACATACGAGGCCGTCAACCAGACGACTCAAGTCGGCTTGGGCCAATCAACTTGTGTAGGAATCGGCGGCGATCCTTTCAATGGCACAAGCTTCATCGACTGCCTCGAGAAATTTGTTGCAGATCCAGAGACGAAAGGCAGGTCTATGCTTGCGGAGCAGCGCATAGACCTCTCGCGTTAATCTTCTTGAACTTTGTTGATTCTGCATAAGCGGTGGAAACATGAATATGCACGGAAGCATATATGGCTGTAAACGTGAGAAAGCTGTGTTTCCACGGGTTTTCATTCATCATGTTTCAAGAAATAAACAACAGGAACGTTGTATTTCTCTCCGCAGGCATTGTTCTGATCGGCGAAATTGGCGGATCGGCAGAAGAAGAAGCAGCGGAGTGGCTGAAAAGTGAGTCAGAGCAACGCGTCATGCAGAAAGCAGCTCCATTTCAGCTGAAATTAGTTTACGAATGCGTTTTTTTTACGCGGATCAAACCTATATTGTGGAGGATTCAAGAAACCACAATAGCTTTTACCACTATTGAACGCGGAGACCTCCTCCAGTTGATTCGTTGATGCTCCTGAGGTCTCACGTGTAATCTGTTAACGTTTCATGTTTTCTTTGCGGCCTTGAGTTCGGGTCGCCGACGGGGAGCTGCGTGTGCATTCACTTTTTTGGTGTTTTGTTGTGACTCAGAGCACAACTGCGGTAAGCCAGTGGTTTCGTTCATTGCCGGGAGAAGCGCACCACCTGGGCGTCGCATGGGCCACGCGGGCGCCATCGTAAGCGGCAACACCGGAACAGCAGCTGGGAAGGTGGAGGCTCTGCAGGCGGCTGGAGTGGTGGTGGTGGAAAACCCCGCCCGAATTGGAGAGGCAATATACGCGGCGATGAAGGAGAAGGGGCTCGTGTGACGGCACTGTGCAGTCTGCACCTGCACAGCTGTTCTGCTTAGATCTGCATTGTTGCTTAGCAATAGTACAGTTGGTTTCGAACGTTTCAATCGATACAACCCTCCAGATGAGGCTAGCTACACTGAACGCAAACAGCGTCTCACACACACTGCGCATATGCGGGCATCACGACGGATGCATACTGCAAACATGAATGCAGTTGATGCCTGCCGGTTCTTCCGTCCAGGCCTTGGTGGGTTTCACTCTATTAAAAGCTCGCCGCCATATTTTTCTGCGCTCGTGGAGGCCTTGAAACTAGAAAGTCAGACACCGCAATGTGTGGCTACAAAGAAGTTGAACGGCTTGAACTTTCGTCCCTTTGAACGAGTGTTTCTGTAGCTTCTGTCCCCCGTCTATGGACTACGTTTCTACATAAAAAGCAAGCGAATCCATTCACTTGTTTAATACATAGCTTGACACAGCAACGACTTCTGCTTTGCTAGATACAGCAGCATTCCTGTGAAACACGTCTTGGTAACGTTCCACCCCGAGGGCTGTCTCACGCAGCTGAAGAGCTGTCTGGTCTTTATGGGGCCGCCACAGCTTCATCAGACTGAGCAGCAGTCTACCTTGCCTATGTATCTACACGCATACTTGAACGGGAGAACAGGCGTATCTGGCGGTAGAGTCAAAGGGGGGACGGCTCTTAACTAATGCCACTGCTGTCACATTATATATATATATATATATATATATATATATATATATATATATATATATATATATATATATATATAAAACACGAAACTGCTGCAATCTTTGCACAAGCGTCTCATTCGCGTGTGTGCTCTACCTTGGAACCGTGAGCGGTCAAATACACATTGGGTATAGGGGCTGCCATCAGGGGCACTGCCTCTGAAGGCGAGATGCAACACTGGG